CTTTGCCGCAGCGGCCCGGGAGGTGCCCGGGCACCTGCCTCTCCGGTAACTCGGTAACTCCGGGACCTGGTGGCTCCGCCGCTTCTGCGCACCGGGTGCCTGGTCTGGGTGACTCTGACCTCGCCAGACTCTTGGGGAGGGGGGACACTTTCCTTTTCCGAGTCTGATTAAGGTCATCCCCAGCCATCCAAGAGGACTTGAGGACAGTTTGAGGAATAGGCTACCGGTCTTCCTAAGTCTGAAGGTGAATCTTACTGAGAGTTCTTGGGAGATAGGGCTGGGACATCTGAAGGACCTGCTCCCGACAGCTATGAGATGGCCTGGAGATCACTAAGAGGACAATGGCAGGGTGGAGGGGTCCGGCTAGGGCTGCATAAATCCTCCAGACCCCATCCAAGCAGAATAGGGCACTCTGGCGTCTGTCCATCCGCTCTGGAGTCGGAGGTGCAGGGTTTACGAAGGGCCATTCCCGAGACTCCTCGCTGCGTCTCTGACGTCATCCACCCAGCTCTCCTCCCACTCCACTGTCCCGTCGTCCGTCCCCCGCCCCCCGTCACTCCCTCTCCTGAAGCCGGGGCTCCAAAGTCATCCTCACCATGTGTCCATTCCAGGTAATCTGCATCTCTCCGTGCACATTGGACCATCTTTGTTCCTGCATACAGCAGATGTTGCTACTTAACATTATGAGGTTTTATTTTTATTATTTCATGTCTGTATGCACACATACACACGAACACACATAGCAAGGCACATATATAGAGGTCAGAGGACAACTCCTGGGTGTCAGTTCTCCTCTTCCATCATGTGGATCCTAAGAATCGAACTCCCATCCTCATACTTGGTGGCAAGCACCCTTACCTGCTGAGCCATCTCACCAGCCCCTTCATTTCCTTTTGTAGAGACAGGATCTCACTATGTAGCTCAGGCTGACCTCTACCTGGTGATCCTCCTGCCTCAGCCTCTGGAGCGCTGGCATGGACCACTACACCTGGTTTATATTCTGTAACAGTTTATCTGTTCATTGGCTCTAGTCCTAACTCTGGAGTATAAAATCCCCTAGGGTGAGGTCACTGTCCACAGGGTTCCCACCACCTTGACCTCTGCCTGACCCAGCCCAGGGCTCTGGGCCATGAAGACCAGGATAGGAGAGGGAGACTCTTGGCAGGGGGTGGGACTGGTTGGAGGAAGGTCCCAGAGAAGCCAGAATGGGGGTAGGTCCAGGGCACAGCGGCAGGGAGCCAGGGACACCAGACACCTTTGTGGTCTGGGGTTTTACGCCAGCAACTCCTGAGCTGTGAAATTCCCTGTATGAAAAATAACCCTCTTGCTGTTCTGGTGGCGCTGCTAGGGGGTGGGGGGTGGGGCACTTTGAGGACAGGCTTTAGCAATAGACAAGGGTGCCTTCTCAAAGCCCTACAAAATTGGTGGTCGTAACAGCCCTTCATGCCTGTGAATTCGCTTAATTCCTTTAAAAACTATATTTATTTATTTAATGTGTGTGTGTATGTTTTGTCTACATGTATGTAAGTCCACCACATGCATGCATTGCCCACAGAGGCCAGAAAAGGGCATCAGATCCCCTGGGTCTGTGGGTTATAGATGATTGTTAGGAGTCATATGGGTGCTGGGAACCAAACTCAGGTCCTCTGCAAGAGCAGCCAGTGCTCTTAACCCCTGAGCCATCTCTCCAGTCCCCTCATTTAATTCTTGCTTCAAGGTGTTATCCTTATGCCCAATTCACAGGTATGAAAACTGAATGGGGGTAGGTCCAGGGCACAGCGGCAGGGAGCCAGGGACACCAGACACCTTTGTGGTCTGGGGTTTTACGCCAGCAACTCCTGAGCTGTGAAATTCCCTGTATGAAAAATAACCCTCTTGCTGTTCTGGTGGCGCTGCTAGGGGGTGGGGGGTGGGGCACTTTGAGGACAGGCTTTAGCAATAGACAAGGGTGCCTTCTCAAAGCCCTACAAAATTGGTGGTCGTAACAGCCCTTCATGCCTGTGAATTCGCTTAATTCCTTTAAAAACTATATTTATTTATTTAATGTGTGTGTGTATGTTTTGTCTACATGTATGTAAGTCCACCACATGCATGCATTGCCCACAGAGGCCAGAAAAGGGCATCAGATCCCCTGGGTCTGTGGGTTATAGATGATTGTTAGGAGTCATATGGGTGCTGGGAACCAAACTCAGGTCCTCTGCAAGAGCAGCCAGTGCTCTTAACCCCTGAGCCATCTCTCCAGTCCCCTCATTTAATTCTTGCTTCAAGGTGTTATCCTTATGCCCAATTCACAGGTATGAAAACTGAGCTGCAGCCTCAGTAACTGGCTGTGATCATACAGCTGGAGGGAAGGAGGGGCTAGCTCTGCCCTTTAATTTTAGGACATTCCTTCTGTCCAATCCCTCCAGTCTCCACTTGATCTGCCAAAGTTCCCTCTGCAGGGACCTCCTCCGGCCTTGAGGGTGTTTTTGTCATGGGATGAAAGAAATACTAGAGCTTGGTTCGTACTCAGTTTTCCCTACACGAGTTACATTTTTCCTTCCAATTCTTCTTCAGTGTCAAAAGTATAAAAGTTTTGGAGTATTTCATTCCAAATCCTATTAGAAGGAGTCACATGTGCTAAGCCTGAAGGTATAAACCTGTCATCTCAGCTCCTTAGGAGGCTGAGGCAGTAAGATGGCAAGATGAAGGCCTACTCAGACTTACAGAGTGAGTTCAAGGCCAGCCTGGGCAATTTAGTGACATTTTGTCTCTTAATAAGAATAAAAAAGGACAGATTGAATGTAGCTCAGTGGTAGAGCACTTGCTTAGCAAGTGCTAGGCCTAAGGTTAAGTCCCAAATACCAAAAAAGCCATGGCCAGGTATGGTGGTGCATGACTTTAATACCAGCACTGAGGAGGCAGAGACAGGCAGATTTCTGTGAGTTGGAGGCCAGCCTGAGATGGTCTACACAGTGAATTCCAGGCCAGCCAGGGCTACATAATGAGACGCTGCCTCAAAAAACCAAAAAACAGGTAAAAAGGCCACATATATTAACTCTTTTTTTTTTTTTTTTCGGTCTTTTTGAGACAGGATCTCCCCATACCCCTAGCTGTCCTGGAACTTACTATGTAGACCAGGCTGGCCTTGAACTCACAGAGATCCGTCTGCCTCTGCCTCCCGAGTGCTGGGATTAAAGGCGTGTGCCACCACGCCCGGCCAACTCTTTTTTTTAAAACCATGCCTGGCTTAACTCTTCAAATCTCTTCCATAGTAGTTCCCCCCCTCCACATGTTGCTGTGCCCCATCACAGGGCTGCTGGGAGGGAGGGGATGAGTACAGGGTGGTACCAGGAGCCACGCTACTCAGGTATCAGAGGTGTGTGTAGGGTCCGGGATGGGACTTCAGTACCTGCAGCCTCAGAAAATGGGCAGCTGTTCCTGACCACCAGGAGGAATGGGATGAGAAGCCCCCACCTGCCCCCAGAGCCCCAAAGGCACAACCACAGCCATAGCCATTTCCAACCCTTTATTGGAGCTCTGACATCCCCAAATAAATATAATACATTAAACCCAAAGCTGAGGGTCTCGTGCACCCCAGGGGGTGCCCCCCACAACCTCAGCTGGGCAAAATAAGTTAGTGGGGGAGCCTGCCAAAGGCCAGGCCAGTTCCCTGGCCAGGCAGAGGGTGGCAGCTGGACTCGCACACACATAGGTCTAAAGTGCATCTCAGTTCTTATGGTCCCCATGTTTGGGTGGCTCTTGGCAGGGCCACTGGGAGGGGCAGGCAGGAGGTTCCTGGTGGCGCTCACACTGTGCCAGCAGTGGCCACTGGGATTCTGTGTGTCCTTCTGTCCATTTGAGGGTATGGCTGTGCGGCCAGGGTTCTTCAGGAGAAGCTGTCATCATCGGTCTGTTGCTGAGTGTCAAAAGGAGGGTCCGGGATGGTGATTCCCCGATGCAGCTTCTCCAGCGAGAACTTCATCTGCAGGTGGGAGTGGGCAGGAGGAGGCGAGTAAGTGGGCAGGGGGGAGGTGAGTAAGTGGACAGGGGGGAGGCGAGCAAGGCCACCCATGCCACCCACAGCCACATCGCCTGCCCCCATCGCCTTTTAACTTCTCAAAGTGCTGTCCTGGAACCCAGATGGTCCAGGTTCAAATCCTGGCTCTGCTATTACTAACAGTAGGTAAAACCTTTCACTGCCTGGGGCCTGCCTCACTGCATGAAGTATAGGTCGTAATTTCCTTGCTTCTGGGCATATGCTGGGGATTTGAGGGATGCTAGAACCTGGCCTGCAGTAATTACATGGGGTACATTAGTTATGACGTTGGACAAGTTCTTGGCCTTGAACTCCAGGATGCTGTGCATCTCTTACCTAACCATAAGATGGGCGACAGGATGTTATGACTTAAATCTGAAATGTCCCAACAGGCTGTTGTACTGACTGCCTGGTCCCCACCTGGTGGTGCTATTTGGGAGGCAGTGGAACTTTTAAAGAGTGGGGACTGGCTGGCTGAAGTTGGTTACTAGGAGGTCTTTGAGAGTCACACTGGACTTCAGTTCTACTTCCTGGTCTGTTGCTATATGAACAGCCTCCTCCTCAGGCTCCCAGGGCTGGGCTTGCGACCCCACCCTGCCTTCCCCCACCATGATGGACAACACATCATGAACCTATTAAATTTTTCCTCCTTTTATGGTTTGAATGGGAAATGTCCCCCATGGGTTTGTGTGCTTGAACACTTGGTCACCAGCTGGTGGCGTAGTTTTGCAAGGTTGTGGAACCTTCGGGAAATAAGAGTCTAGGAAGTGGACTAGACCATTGGGGAGGGGGGGCATGTGAGTTATAGTGCTTGGTCTTTCTTCCTGTCTCTCTACTTCCTGATCTGGATCCAGCGTGAGCAAGACAGAGCAAGACACCATAAGTTGTGGGAGACAAGGGAAGAGCTGGCCCAGCTGCCACAGTGGACTATATTCTGTTAAGTTGAGAGCCAAAGTAAACCCTTCCCTCAGTTGCTGCTGTCAGGTATTGTCACAGTGAGGAGACAAGTAGCTGACACATCTCCCTTGTGTCTGCCACATACTTTGGTCACAGTGAAAGTAACTAACACATAAGAGCATCCTGCTGCAAGGTTGGCTAGAGGACTGGGCAGTCAGTCATCTGTGGGTAGGGGCAGAACAGTCTGGTTCTGCTAACAAGTGCTCTTGTTATAATTAGTGTGTGACAGTGACTTGGTACCCTTGGCAATCTGAAGGAGAGAGAAATAATGAAACTTGAACTCAGGATGGGGGAGTCCTGCTCCATTCTAAGTGAGGAGCCCCAGTCTCAATTCCTTCTCCACCCTGCCTGCCCTGCACACCTTGTTCAGTGGAGCATCTCCCTGGGAGCCTGATTTTAGGGGGTAACTTGGCCCCTAAAAATGGGCCTCTGCATTGTGGAAGGGTCTCATGGACAGGAGTTCTATTTTCTCCAGTGCTAGGGATGGAAAATTTTGTTTTCTAGTACTAGAGATAGAACCCAGGGCTTTGTGAGCTATTCCTGAGCCATACCCCAGCCCCTCACTGGGGGATTCTAGGCAGGTGTTTTACCACTGAGCCACACCCCCAGCCCTTCACTGGTAGATTTTAGACAGGTGCTCTACCACTGAGCTACAACCCCAGGCCCTCACTGGGGGATTCTAGGCAGGTGCTTTACCACTGAGCCACACCCCAGCCCCTCACTGGGGGATTCTAGGCAGGTGCTCTACCACTGAACCACACCCCAAGCCCCTCACTGGTAGATTTTAGGCAAGCACTCCACAGCTGACCCAATTCCCCAGCCCCACTAGACACAATTTTCCCATTACCTGCAGCTCCATCCTGAAGCCCTCAGTGTCCCAGACAACTGTCTCTTCCTTATTTTCCCATCTTCCTCCCTATCTTAGACACTCACCCCAGCACCCACCATTTTCCTTAATCCACCACAGCTGCTGACTGGAGTTCTCTGGGACCCAAGGACAACACTATATGGCGACAGCACATTCATTGAGCACCTGCTGTATGCCTGTGTGAGGCTCACAAACAGCAAGCACAGAGGAAGTGTTTACTGTGTGCTCGGCACTATTCCAAGCCTTAGTGTGCTTTATGGTTCATAGAGGTCACATTGCTCTGCTGTGCAGAAGATCCAGCCAAGGCTCAAATGACTTGCATAAGGTCACACAGCAGACTTTGACCCTGGGCATCCAAACTACCCAGTGTGGCTGGATCAATCCCCTTTTTGGAAATGAAACCCAAATGCCTTTTGGAGAGCCACTCTCCTGCCAGCAGCCTTTAGACCTAAGGGAACAGAGAAAAATGGGGCCCAAATTCACCCCAGCCCTGGTCATTTGACTGGTTGGGGAAAGGGTGGGCATATGATCCCAGCAGCCAATGATAGTGAGTTCCGTCCTCTGCAGGTCCCCAAAATACCAACTGAGGACCAACACAGTGAAAAGACGGCATTCTTACTACTGTGAGCAACTAGATCCAGCCATGCCTAAAGGACATTTCTGCAGGATGTGAATAAGTTTTTTCTTCCATTCCGTGGGTTTCCCTAGCAAGCCTGTGAGGTGGGAACTGGAAATGGCATCTTCATTTTACAGTGGAGGAAACAGGCCCAGAATGGGGAAGCATCTGGAATCAAGATCCTACAGCCCCTTGGCTATGTCGACCCGTACCTCATCTAGGAGCTCCACAGACGCCCGCAGGATCTGCCTCCACTTGTGCACCTCGACACTGTGAAACTGCTTCTGCAGAGCCAGGATCTCTGCCCACTCCGTGGCCGTCTGGGGGAACTTGCTGTGGAAAAGCAGAGCCTGAGTGGGGCCCTGGCCTCCCTATCCTGACCCCAACTTCCCCTGCCCCTCCACACCCTCCACTCACCCCTTGGCCAGAGCCAGGCTATGCCAGGACTCAAAGGTGTGAGCTGTCCTCTCCAGAGACCAGAGGCGGTAAAAAAGGAGGGCATTGAGGGCGATGAGGACAATAAGGCTGGGGACAGAAGAGGCAGAGGTCAAGGGTCCTGGAATCCTGATGCTCCCTCAAATTGGGCACTGAGCTTGAGACCACAACCCCCAACTGGCATAATCATACTTTAAAGGGTACCATCTCAGAGGGGGTGACTGACATGCCTAGGATCAGACAACCCATAAGCAGAAAAGTCAGAGTTTACACCCTGACCTGTGCCAAGCCCACATGCTTGCTGGCCACACCAGGCTACTTTCCCTGGAGCAGCCAGGGACATGGATCAAGGAAAAAGATGCTACAGGGGGATGAGGTAAGACACAGGGAGGGGCAAGCAGGGGATGAATGCAGGACCCTACCTCACACAGATCCTGTGGAGGCACCAAAGGGGAGACAAGAGACATGAGAACCGTCCAGGCTGTGCTGGTGCCCAACCCTTTCCACCCAGGGCTGCTAGCTCTAAGCCTGATGGACCACACAGCCTCTCTTGGATGCTGATCTTGGTTAACTGAGACCCCCAAGAGGCTGAGCATGTGGCCTAGATTGGCTCTAGGCTAGGGGATGCTCGCTCTTCTTCAGTGTCCTGCCTTCCACATGTTACAGCTTTCAAATGCCTGTTTGGTGTTCCTTCTAAGGCCCACCCAGTATCAGCTCAGGCATCCTTGGCTTCATAGCCTTAGCTGCCCTGGCCTCCATGGCAGCCTCCCATCCCAGCCCCATCCCTCTGGTCTGGTGACAGCTCTCCACCATCCCCCAACTCCCGCAGGGCTGTGGGTCACTGCTGTGTCCCCAGCATCACCCAGATCAGGACTGCGTGCAAAAAAACTCAAGTGAGGTAAAATGCATAAATGACCTGACTTCTTTTGCATGGCTAATTCTACATTGCCTCTTCTTCCAGAAAGTTCTCCCCTTTGGCTTCCCATGGCCCAGGGAAAGACTTCTCTATGACAAATTGAGCACACAGGGAATCTACCAGACATAACTCAAACACCATCATGTGCAATCCTTGCTCTGAGTTGAGTGTGTACTCCCACAAAAGCAGAGGCCCAGAGAGACCAAGCACTTGCCCCAGTCACACATCCAACGTGCAGATCTTACTCACACAATGCTGATGAGAACCAGGGCATTGGGGATGCCTGCCCCAGGGCCCTGGTCTATGGACGGTTCTGAGAAGCGGGAGCTGAGGGAGCCTGTTGGACAGCAATGGGGAGTGAGACAAGTGGAACCCAGGGATCACCTCCCCTAGCTCCTCCGTCTACCTTGACGTAACCCACCTGAGGTGTGCATGCCAGTCCGGGTACAGGGGTCTGGGTCCGGGTGCTGAGGCCCTTCTCCGTGGCCCCTCCAGCTCAGGGGCCGCTTCCGCCTCCGCAGGCCTGACAGTAACCCCCGAGCATCCTTCCCTCCTTCCTCCAGGGACAACTTCTCGGCCTTGGTGAGCTCTCGCTCTGCAGAACAAGTGACAGCTCAGAATGTCTGAACCCAGCCGGTCCACAGCCCCACTTGCCCCGCCAGCCTTTGGTCCCCTACCCAGATGGTGGAAATAATCTTCAATGCCGCTCCATGAGTTCTTCTCAATGAGGGACTTCACGAGGCTCCACGGCTGCTTTCGGTAGCGGATCTCTGAGGACACACTGGGGTGGGGACAAGAGGAGACCTGGGTCACGTCTGAGGGACTATACAAGCTTCAGTTGGCCTCTTTCACCATTTAAAGAGCGGTCTTTGTCACTGACAAACAGTAGTGCACCCTACCTCAGGACTTCCCTGGTCCCCTGGTCCCCGACTTGCTGGCTCACTCAGCCTTGGACCTCGTGCCCACTTTATTGGTGAGTCTGCACAAGCACGGTCTCCACTCACACATGGCCAATCATCTCCACACACTCGGCCTTGCCAAACCCACTAAACTTCTCCCTCATCTGGCTGCTGAACCCTAATCATTTTTATTTTTTGGCTAAAGATCAAACCTAGTTAGGGTCTCATATACGCTAACCAGGTGCTCTACCACTGAGCTACACCCCTAGCCCTTCAGTGGTGGATTCCAGGCAGGTGCTCTACCACTGAGCCATGCCCCCAGCCCTCAATGGTAGATTCTAGACAAGTTCTCTACCACTGAGCCACACCCCTAGCCCTTCACTGGTGGATTCCAGGCAGGTGCTCTACCACTGAGCCATGCCCCCAGCCCTCAATGGTAGATTCTAGACAAGTTCTCTACCACTGAGCCACACCCCTAGCCCTTCACTGGTGGATTCCAGGCAGGTGCTCTACCACTGAGCCATGCCCCCAGCCCTCAATGGTAGATTCTAGACAAGTTCTCTACCACTGAGCCACACCCCTAGCCCTTCACTGGCGGATTCCAGGCAGGTGCTCTACCACTGAACCATGCCCCCAGCCCCTTGATGGGAGATTCTAAGCAAGTGCTCTACCACTGAGTTATATCACCAGCCCCCTTTTCACTTTTCATTTTAAGATAGGATCTTGCTAAGTTAGGGTAACCTTGAACTCATTCTATACCCTTGAACTTGGGATTCTCCTGCCCCAGCCTCCTGAGTGCTGAGTTGCAGGTCTGACTCTCCATCTATATAAGTCCATCCAGAATCCAACTATTGTCCCTCATGCTGGCCCAGTCCTCTACCTCTCCCACTAGACAGCAGAGTGGCCCATTCTTGGTATATTCCCATTGTCCACCCCTATCTGCAGCCAGAGGAAGGCTATCTGTGTTGAGTCAGGGCCCTGTGGGATCAGAGCTCTGCTCTGGCTGTACTTCAGGGTAGCTGAAGGTCAAGTCCACACCATGGCCATGAAGCCATGAAGATCCAATGCATGGATCACCTCCTACTTACCTACTCAAGCTGTTCCCAGGCTCCTGCCTTAGGGCCTTTGCCCTGGTCATTCCAAATGTACATCTCTCCCCTCCCTCAGGTTCTTAGTAAATATTTCTCTCAGAAGACCCTCTCCCAATCAGCATATTTGGGGTACAACTCCCTGCCCCCCGCCCCACTCTTCAGCCTTATGTGCTTTTCTCCAAAGTCCTCATCATTAAAGAACATTCCATAAATAATCATTTATTTCACCGGCCAATTCTCCACTAGCGTCTCAGTTCTCTAAGAGAGATTTTTGTCCCCAAAGCCTGGAATAGGCCAGGCACACGTTAGATGCTCAATAAACATGCGAACACATGAACTATGTTCATCTTCACACAACTCTTAGGTTCACAACAACCTCTACCAATGGTGATCCCAAGGAGCTACCCTGTTTCCTGCCAGGGTGGGACACAGCCCTAGCTGCTGACGTGGGGTAGGGAAAAGGTGCAGTCAAACTCACCGAAGCCGGGCCTTGTTCCGGGCCAGGCCCAGGATACAGTAGCGGTGGGCAGTGTAGAAGTAGTCCTGGTACGGGATGCCTTGTGTGAGCACCTCAGAGTCCACCACACATCCACCAGCCTGTGGGCCCCGTCGGAACAGAGTCTGCAAGGGCAGATGGGGCAGGAGGGAAGTTAGAGTGGCCTCACTCAGCCACCCCAGCCACCCAGCCACCTCAACCCCGCCCACCTGTGTCTCCACCACGGAGGCGCTCTTGGGGCCCAGAGGGTTGTTGATGGGAATGGTGTAGGTCAGGACTCTGCGCTGGTGGCATTTGCTGTCACTGCTCCAGGGGCTCAAGGTCACATCTAGGGGAGAGAGAACGAGAAGCGCACTAGATCTTGCTTTGCTGCCAGGCTGTAGGAGCCTCAGCCTTCTGGAGTGTTTCAATTCTTTGGGGACTTGTCCCCAAGTGTTCCACCCCCACCCTGTGTGTCCCCGCACTGTGCTGCCAGCCCCATCTTCCTTTTAGAAGCTGAAACTTTTAGATATTGATAGGGACAGCTGGATGCTTCTGCTCCAACATTAGTGACCCCTCCTGGGGCCATCCCTGTCTACTCAAAGCCTCAGTTTCCCCTCTGTACCAGGCCTGTCTACTCTGAGCATCAGATGAAAGATCCAAAACCGAGGGGGTATCTCTCCCCAGAGGTGTCCTGTGCCCTCACACCTACCTGGTCCCACACTGGCTTCAATGTTGCCCTGCATCTGAACCACTGGGTCCCTATCTTACCACCCTTCAGGATCCCAGTGGAGCCCTGGGCCTTGTCCTCCCTAGTAGCTCCACGGTCTTCTTTGTGTGTGTATGTGCATGGGTATGCATGCATGTGTATGTCCCTGTGAGTACAGCTGCATGTGTGGGTACACATGGGAGCATGCGTGTGGAGGCCTGAGGACCACCTTGAGTATCAGTCCTTTTCAGGCACCAGCTGCCTTGCTTTTCCGAGACAGGGTTCCATTGGCTTGGTAATCTCCAGTTGGGGTAGGTAAGCTGGCCAGCAAGCTCCAGGAGTCCACCTGTCTTTGTGCTTCTAGTGGTGGAATCAGAAGTGTGCACCACAGTGTCCAATTTCTTACATTTAAAAAATAGTTTTAGAGTGCCGGGTGTGGTGGCACACACCTTTAATCCCAGCACTCGGGAGGCAGAGGCAGGTGGATCTCCGTGAGTTTAAGGCCAGCCTGGTCTACATAGTGAGTTCCAGGACAGCTGGGGCTACAGGGAGACCCTGTCTCAAAAAGACCAAAAAAAAAAAAAAAAAAGTTTTAGATCTATTCTAAATTGTGTGTGTGTGTGTGTGTGTGTGTGTGTGCGCGTGTGTGTGTGTACACATGCATGCGAATGTAGGTGCTTGCTGAGGCCAGAGGCATCAGATCCCCCAGAGTTGGAGTTACAGGCAGTTGTGAGCTGCCACGCAGGTGCTAGGAACTGAGTTCTATCCTCTCTAAGAGGAACAATCTCTCTAGCCCTTTAAAATTTTTTCAGTATGTTTATTTGGGGTGGGGGGTGCCAAGGTGCATGTGTGGTCAGAGGACCTCTCTTGCCACCTTTTGGGTTCTGGGGGATAGAACTCAGACAGGCTGATGGTAAGGCCCTTCATTGCTAAGTCATACTCCCAGCCCCACTTCAACTGTCTTTAGTCTCCTAAGCATTGTGCCTGGTTCTGTCTTTGCTTCTATGCCCAGGAGACTTCCTTAAATTCCACATTTCATCCAGAAATAACATTTGGTTAAAATAAATCCCAGCCCTTTGGTTAAAACAAATCTCAGGCCTCTCTCATCTGCCTGAGACATTCCATTGCTCCCTAGTACTCCAGGAGAGTCTGAGACAGGCACCACACACTGGATCATTAACTTGCATCAATTCGACTCTTGCTACTCCTGATGTTGGAGGCTCTTTCCTAGTATTAATTCATTTCGTTCTCATGGTTACGCCGGTACTACAAGCACATCCTGATTTACAGGCGAAGACTAAGGCATAGAGAGATTTAGAAGCCTGTCCAGGGCCACTCAGCTAGCATGAGGCTCTGGCAGATGCTCACGAGGGGTGTGAGCCTCCACCTCCTTGGTCTTGCCCCCTGACCTGTGAACTTGCACTGTTGCAGGAAACCCTGGAGGAAGGGCGAGTCAGAGAAGAGCATTTGCTGAAGACGCTCGGCTCCCACGTGGAAGACAGAGTTGATGAGGAGCCGGCCAGAGAGGTCGGGAAGCAGGGCGGCCAGGTCACCTGAGAAAAGGACAGGTCCACATCACCAGGGTGCCACCCCTCCCCACTCCCAGGCCCTCCCCTGTGGAAGGACAAACTCAATTTCCTGGACCAGAGACACCTAGGACCCTGCAGCACAACTCAGACCTTCCTGCCACACAGGACTGGCTCAAGGTGGGCACGTGCCCCAGCCTAGCCAATCAGAGTGGCCATGATGGTGCTCTGTGGAGCACACCTGTAGTCAACTGGAATCAAGTCATTACAGGATTGAACGTGCGACTGGTCCAGAGGCATGTGTGTGACCCAAATCAGGCCAATCAGATACAGACATTGGTTCAAAGATGAGTTCATTTGGCAAGTCGGACCAATCACAGTCAACCCTCAGCTGTTTGCTGTAGTGAGTGGGAAAAGTGTTCCGTCTGTTAACCAGGCCTGAGGCTCTGTCTCTGTGCCCACAAGAATAAAACCTTCTGGAAAATTAGTACAGAGAAAATGAATGAACTGTTTTCATAGTCTTCCTTTTCTGGTCACACAGCCTTCCATGTAGTGCTCAGGGCACACTGTTCAACACCATCCCTGGCCACCCATTGCATAGCCCCCTTGTGCACCAACGTGTCCCTTCTCACTTGTCCTGACTTGTGTGTAACCAAGGTGAATGGACCAGGGTCCACCTGCCTCACCTTCCTCTCCTGTGGATGAAGAGGAGTTACTCGTATCGGTCAACAGCTCCTCTCTTGGAAGCAGATCCAAGGGGCCCAGAGAGGTGGGCCCATCTGCTGGGGCAGGTTCTGTACTTGGAGGTTCTGTGACTGGGGTCACCGTCTGACTAGAAGAGGCATCCAGCTGGCTGTCCGTCTGTTCCTCCTTGTCTTCCTCTGCCTACAAAGAGGGGCTCCATCCAGTGTTGCCTCACCTTGACGACCAGACCAAAGGCTCCCTGTGGGTGGACTCTGGCCACAAGAGTTTGATAAACTGTCTAGGCCTTGGGTACCAGCTCTGGGGACAAAGCATAAATATCTAGGGCTCCAGGTTAATCTGATAGGGGCCTCAGGGCCACCCAGCGGTGAGGGCTTACGTTGGATGCTTGCACCACTTGTCTGCCTCCCCTCCATCCACCTCTGGCCCTTTCGCCTCACTCCCACTTTGCAACCTCTTTCCCTCTTTATCTATTTTCCTTGTCTGCTTTCGCCCCTCCACCTGTTCCCATTTCATCAATTTGCCCATCCTACCCTACCCTTTCTGTTGCTCTTTCTCACTCCCCACACCAGCTCCATCTCCAATGGTTCTGTCCTTCCCCATAAGCACCCCTTTGCTCACCCCATGGTCTGCATCACTGCTGGCTCGGGAGAGGTTGGGGGTAACTCGACCACGCCTGGAACCCACAGGGCTCGGCTCTTGACTGTGGTCGGCTGCCCCCGAGGGGGTGATGTCACTGAGTGCGATCACATCTCCTACCTCTTTGGGACTCCTGAAAGGGCAAGGGAGGGAGTGGAATGGCACTCTGACTCCTTTCCCTGATGCTTTGCAAACTTCTGTCCTCCCAAGTACTTCAGGAGATCTGCATTGCAGCCCTCAGGGCCTCAGAGCCCCTCTCCATCTCAGACTCACCCCAGACCATTCAGCTGCAAGGGGCAGACATAGTCTTCGTCCTCACTGGTGAGACCCAGCTCTGAGCCGTAGCACTGATGAACCAGGTGCCAGAGCTCCCTGGGACTCAGTGTCTGGGAAGGAGAGATGTGGGGTTGGACTCTTGGTTCCCTTCAGCCCTCTCCCAGCAGTTCCTGTGACTTCCACAAGGGGGCAGAATGGCTCCCTATGCCAGAGCCCACCCATCTTGCTAACTCTGAGCTCTAGGGAGCCTCTACAGAGAGCATGGGCCCTATGGCCTGCAGGCCACACCTCAGACCTCCCACATCCTTAATGCTCTGGTTAGCGAAGCTTCTTATTTTACTGAGAAGGATCTGGAGATTTAGGAAGGGGAAGTCATGTGCTCAAGGTCACACAAGCAACTCTGGGATTCAAGGCCTGCTAGACTCCAGAAGAGTCCAGGTTCTTGCCCCTTAGGCTGTCCTGCCTCCATCATCCCCTACAAGCTATCCTCCGCAGCCCTGAGTTTTCTGACTGCCCACAAACTGGATGGATGACAATGACGCTGAGAAAAAACAAACAAACAAAAAACCAAACCTAATAATAACAGTGAGGCAGTGGTGTCTGCTGGCCTTCTTCCAAGTTCTGTGCATGTGCTAACTCACGGGTCTTTGAAACAGTTCCATAAAGGCATTAATGTAACCCCATCACCATTTCAAGACAAGGACATACAGGCCTGCACAGCAGCCCATCTACAGTCGTCCAGCTGAGGTAGCAGTGCTGATATGGGAGCCCAGGCTGGTCTGAGCCACCCACCCTGAGACACCTGGAGTTACTAAGCCCAGTCTGCCACCACCCTGGAAGATCTGAAGTAAAAACAGTCTACATTTGAGAGATGGGGTCCAATGACTGATCCTATGCCACAGCTGTTGGCCATCGGCTGGAACGACAGGGTCAGCGTTTCTGTTTTAGTTGTGTGTGTGTGTGAGTATATTGCCTGCATGTATGTAAGTGCACCCGTGCTGTGCAATGCCTAAGAAGGCCAGAAGAGGGCATCAAATTCCCTGGACCTGGAGTTACAGATGATTGTTAGTGCTATGTGGGTGCTGGGAACTGAACCTGGCTCCTCTACAAGAGCAGTCAGTGCTCTTAATCTCTAAACCATCTTTCCAGCCTCCAGGGCCAGTGTTTTGTCCTTCTGCCCTCATCCTGTGGCTGCTGGCTCTCTCTCAGGCTCCTGAATGGGGGCTACAGGCCATCTTGATTCTGAAGATGCTCATGTGTGGAGCTGCCTTGGGGGCTGAATGCCCCCAAGAGGGCAGGACACAGAGCAGATCTGGGTGATGGGTCTCAAGTGTCTGAGGGGTGTCAGCAGTGTTGGTGGACAGGTGTGATGACTGCTCACCATCTGTGTCACTCTCTCCCTGCTAGCAGAACCCATGTGGAAACCTTCCCTAGCACTAGGATTACATGACAGCTGGTCTACACCATCTGTGCTCTCCTTTAGCAGAGACTCTCGGCTCTAGAACCCTTGGCTGCCCCTGGTGGGACCAGTGGAGAAGTCACAGATATACAAGGCCTGGTGCCCAGGGAGAAGGCCTAAGAGTTCTCCCTGCTTCTCTGAATCCTGGGTCCTCCCTGGTGCACCCCAGCCTTCACCCCAGCTGCATCCATACCCACCTTTTCCAGTAGCGCATTCTGCCAGAGGCGGAAGATGAGGAGAAAGCAGCGGTCCCGGGCCCCAAAGGAGGTGAAGAAATGCTGCAAGGAGACAGGGTGAGGGCTGAGGATGGAGGCTGGCACAGGGACGCCCTACAGCCATCGCAGTGGGGGAGCTGGTCCCTCAGGTCCAGGCAGGAGACACAGGTTGGGGCTGCAGCAGCTCAGCCCAGAGCATTTTCCCAGTCCTCTTTATTGATAGTGACGGCCAACTCATCCAGCTTTTGGCCAACAAAACACAAGGGAAGTGGGCTGGGAAGTCTTCCCCCATCCTTCCTGCTTCCTGTCAAGCCACCCAAGTAACATAGCTACTTTTCAATCAAACAGACAGGAAGCAATAATTGAGGACAGTTGACAGGTACGGTGGTGTACACCTTTAATCCCAACACTAGATCTAGGGATGTAGCTTAGTGGTGATGTTTGCCCAGCATGCACAAAGCCCTGGGTTCGAATCCCAGCACACACTGAAAACCACTCAAGAGGACAGAATGGAGATGCAGAGGGACTTTTGCAAGGTGAGGACATCTGGGTCACTGGATACATGGAAAATTTCAGGATTACTTTTGTTACTTTTGTCCCTGTGAGGGGAGGAGACAGAGAGGGGGATTTGGCCACTGTAAGGGTTAGAAGAGTAAACAGAATAAACAGAGAAATGGGGTTCTGCTCTGAAGAGCTTGGCAAGGTGAGTGGGGGACCTGGCTGAAATCCCAGCCCATGTGCCCCAACTAATTGGGTTCCCACTCACCTTCTCACTCTCTGTGCAGATCTGGATGGCATTGGGGATCAACTTGGCCGTCTTTTCCTTCTTTAGACAGGTCACTTCCTTCAACTGGATGGAAATCTAAGGACAGCACGTGTGTGAGAAGAAGCTGGGGGGGGCACTGCCCACCCTGGGGCACCTCCAAGACCTGCCATGGCTCACCGTGGTCTCCCAGCGGAAGATGTTGCTATAGAAACATATCCAGTTTTCAGAGAGGTAGAGGCGGCCTTGCAGGAGGATCTCCCTCTGCAGGGCGCAGGAGTAATCTGAGAGTGGCCAAGGGAGAGAGAGACATCCGAGTCATGCACTGGCTAGTCAGCCCACAGGCCTTCCACAGGAAGGAGGGCAGAGGTGGGGCTGCAGGACAAGGATGGGGCTGGGGACTCACCCACGATGAGGCGCTCGGCCTCGGGGAGTTTACTGAACAGTTTCCGGAAGTCCTCGTTGCGCTGTTTATATGTGGGGCTCAGCATCTAGGGAGGTTTGGGACATAAGCACTGAAGGAAGTGGGGACTCCTCCCCCTATTTGGCCCCACAAAGCTTTCAGATCCCCCTCCCCCAGTCGTCTCAGTCCCTCACATCTCTTGGTTTATAACAAAAACGTCACCATAAGGACATCTGCCATTTACTTATATGTCAGGTACTACCACCAGCATCACCAACTGGTATTAAATGTTTCCTACAGCCTTGCAAGATTGGGCTTCTGTTCCTTAAGGAAGAGAGAAGGCCCGGATAGGTTAAGTGACTTACCCAAGATCACACAGCACATAAACAGCAGCATCTCATGTGCAGTCTGTAAATATTATCCTACCCCCCTTGACCACTCCAACCTGAGGCCCTTTCCCTCCATCCCTTTAGCAAGCCCCATGCTTAGATACTTACACTGTACCAGCTCTGCATCTTCTGCAAGAGAAAGAGAGGAATCAGGGCCAGCCCTTGTGTCTTGTACACACCTCACTATCTTCCCACTTCACCTGGGCTTGTACCCACCTTACTGTTGCGGATGAAGTTCCGGCTACCCAGGCTCTGGGTGCTGGGGGTCCCAGGCACCCCACCCTTCTCTGAAGAGCTATCAGATCCCTTCTCTACCATGGTGCCTGGTTCTGGCTCAGGGGCAGGAGGGGGCCGGCTAGGGGGCAAGAGCTGCAGCCGCTTTCGCAGAGAGGGGGAGCTGCTTGGTGAGCTCCGGCCAGAGTGGGGTGTGGTGCTGGGGAGAGAGAGGAAAAGGGAAATGGGTATGGGGGAAGCAGGTTGAGGGTGGGGGGTGAGCCTGGTTTTGAAGGCCCATCCATCAGCGAGTGGGTCCATCTAACCACCATCCATCCATCTAATCATCCATCTGCCAACTCAGTCATCCACCCATTTACTTGCCTATCAATGTATCTATCCATTCATCTGTTTGCCAACCCAGTCATCCTTTCATCCATTCACCCATTTTGTGTCTGTGTGTGTGTATTTGTGTGCGTCTGTGTCTATGTGTAACTTCTCTATCAATGCATCTATCCATCCATCCAAAGTCACATAGTACCAAGGTCACTCATCTATTCGTCTAACCACTTATCCATCTACCTATCCATCCATCTATACATCTGCTCCCCCGTCCTTCCATCCACTTCCTTGCTGTAATCCCAGAGTAGGTCCCCTAATACTCTTGTGCCTCTGTTGCTTCATCTGTAACCCTGTAACCCAGGGAATTATAACTCACATCCTTATCTGGTTGTTTTGAGGGTTAAAAGAATCAATACACGTTAAGTGTTTCTAATACAGCCATGTGCACAGTGAGCACTCAACAACACCTATTTTATTTTTTAAATCACTGTATTATTATTAATGTGTGTGTGTCTGTGTGTGTGTGTGAGAGAGAGAGAGAGAGAGAGAGAGAATGAGAGCGCATGTGTGCCCCATTCATGTGGAGGTAGACAACGTTCAGGAGTGGTTCTCGCCCTCCATGGGTTCTAGGAATTGAACTCGGGTCATTAGGCTTACACGGCAAGTGCTTTTATCTGCTAAGCCATTTGCCACCTGATATTTTGAAAACATTAACTTACTAATTTAGTTATACAACAGACATTTACTGACAAGTGACTTTCCACTCAGATACTAACAATAGAAACCTAAGCACCTTTCTTTTCCTAAAAAGATTCAAATTTTTTTAAATTTGTGAGTATGTGTGCCTGTGTGAGTTTATGTTGCACCACGAGTGCAGTGCCTAAGGAGGCCAGGAGAGGGCTGCCCAATGTGGGTGCTGGGAACTGAACCCAGGTCCTCTTCAAGAGTAGTATGTGCTCTTAACCACTGAGCCATCTCTCCAGCCCCTGCACTTAAGGTCTTTCGTAAGGTCTCCTTCCCTTACTCTCATTTCTAATCTGTCTGACACACCTCCAAAATCTACTTTCATTTTTTCTTCTCTTTTTGAGACCGAGTCTCACCATGTAGCTCTGTGTATCCTGAAACTCACTATGCAGACTAAGCTGGCCTTAACTCACAGTGACCCACCTGCCTCTACCTCTTGAGTGCCCAGATCAAAGGTGTGCCACTATGACCAATATTCTCACTTCTTGTTCCAGCCTCTATTCCTGTCCACAGAGAAGTCATGGAAGTTTCTTTTGGTCTCCACTCCTGTCACTGCCCCTACAGTCTGTCCCCACCAGCAGCCGGGAGGAGCTGGTGACCCCTGAGTCAGCCCTGGCTGCACCTTACTTCAAGTAAAAACCAAGTTCTCACTTTGATGTCACCAAGTCCTTGGCTCTCCTTGACCTCTTGTGTCTCCTGGTTGTCCCAGCCATTCCAGCCTCCTGTTCCTTAAGCTTCTCAACTCCATTCCCACATCAAGGCCTCTCTGGTCTTGTGATTCCCTCCGGCCAGAACCTGGCCAGAAAACCCATTCACAGCCTCAGCATAAGGACTCTGTCTTGTTCATTCCCAGGGCTCTCCCTCCCTCATCACACACCCAGGCTAGCTACACTCACTCTGCTCCATTTACTCAGTTTGTTTATTGCCTGCCCCAGACTGTGAACTTGGGGAGATCTTGGTTGCTAACTATATCTCTAGCACCTGAACAGGAGACAGGACACATTATTAATGTTCAGTAAACACCCGGCACTTAACGAATGGCCCCAAACTGACTGGGGCACCAGCAGAGACCAGCAGAGATGGCTCCTGGATTGGTGAATTATCCTCCTGCTGGAGGTGGACATTAAACAAACAGAACATTCTGGTGACTGTGCAAACACCAACTGCAGTAAGGGCAGTGGGGGTGAGAGGCAGGAACTTGAAAGGGACATTCACTGCTGACTCCTTATCAGGATTATGTCAAGCACTCTGAGTGATTAATTTTATCATTCCTCAAACAATACTTATATACCCGTGCTGGTTCAGTTTCATGGAGGGAACTGAGGCTCCGAGACAGAGGCACAGCCTGTTTTTCTCTCAGAGAAGGATTCCTTCCAACCCGATGAGGGACACATGTCTATTCCGGGTGCGTGTTGAATTGCCTCCTGCAGGAACGCTCTTTCTTCCTTGTTCTCCTTTCCTCCCTGCCAGCTCTGCCCACGTCATCAGTTCCTCTGTCCATACCGCTCTTACTCTTCTTTGCCCTGTAAATTTTTTTTAAATTTTTTTTGCTGAGCTGGAAGTTGAACTAACTGCCTCATGTAATGCTACACTGACAGTTTACCACTGAGTCACACCCCAGCCCCTCACTGGGGGATTCTAGGCAGGTGCTCTACCACTGAGCCACACCCCAGCCCCTCACTGGGGGATTCTAGGCAGGTGCTCTACCACTGAGCCACACCCCAGCCCCTCACTGGGGGATTCTAGGCAGGTGCTCTACCACTGAGCCACACCCCAGTCTTCCTTTTACTTTTTATTTTGAGACAGGGTTTCTCAATAAGTTGTTCGGGCTCAATCTATAACCCAGGCTGGCCTTGGACTTTTGAACATCCTGCCTCAGCCTCCTGAGTGACACCTGGGACAACAGGCCTGCACCTTCACACCTGGCTGGTGGTTTTGATAAACATTTTTTTTAAAGGCAGGATCCCATTGTGTAGCCCCGACTAGCCTGCCTGGAACTTATAATGTAGACCAGGCTGGCCTCATAGGCACAGAAATCTGCCTGCCTCTGTTTCCTGAGAGCTAGGATTAAAGGCATGTGCTATTACATTCAGCTTTTTAAAAAATATTTTATTTATTATCTTTATTTTATGTGTACGACTGTATTGCCTGCATGTATGTGAGCGTACCTGTGTCGTGCAATGCTACAGAGGTCAGAAGAGGGCTTCAGATTCCCCTGGAACTGGAGTTAAGGATGGTTCATAACCGCCATGTGGGTGCTGGGAATCGAACCCGGGTCCTCTGCAAGAGCAGCCAGTGCTCTTAACCTGTGAGTCATCTCTCGAAGCCCCATTTGTCTATTTTTTTCTTTTGTTGCCTTGCTTTTGTAACCACAGCAAAGAATCACTGAAAAATCCATGCTCGCTGGGATCACAGGCCTGCACTCCCAGGCCTGGCTGGCTCTGCAAATTCTTAGGCACACTGCAAGTCTCTGGTTTGCCCCCTCCCTTCTGCAGGTCCCCATACCCTGCTGGGATAGCAATCAGTCCAGCTGTGACTCCTCTGGCCTGTCACTCTCTGATGACAGTTCTGTGGGCTCCCTGGGGACAAGTCTTGGGGCTTAGTAACCCTGTACGGCTTGAGACCTGCTCGAGATGGGGTACAAGGGAAGTGTTCACATAATACTTATAAAGTGAATTCGTGTAATAAAATATGTTAATAAAGGAAATAAACAGGGCCTTGGGCCATTTCTGCTCTCTGCTGGGACAACCCAGTGCCTCTTCCCTGGTTTCTGGGCACTGGTCTTGGAACCACTCTGTCCCCACCTACAACCCGTTCTCACTTAGGTGGGTCAGGGTCTTCCAGGCTCCAAGGCTGCCCCACTCCACCTCACTCCAGGAAAACCCCCATCCCATCTCTGCATGCTGCACTCTCTCTCTTCTGGCTTTTACCCTGACTCTTCTCTCTGTCCCAAAAGCTCTTCCCCCCAGTAGATGTCCCAGGGCCTCTCATCCAGTGCTCTATGGACACATCTTGATGTTCTACTGAAATCCCACAGCCCCTTGCTAGTCTCCCTCCTCTGCTCTCTCTCCACAGCATCTGTCAGCAGCCTTGGATTCCCACCCTCCTCCCCATCAGCTAGTGAGTGGCGGGTGCACAGCACACTACAGTGGACTGAGATCAGGTTCACTTGCTCCTTCCTGGAACCTGGATTCAACCACACTTGAACTCAAAGGTCTCCAGTCTCAGAACTGCCACTTCCTTCCTATGTGGCCTGGTCTAGCCTCCCTAGCCTCAGTTTCCCCCAGTGTTCCCACTCCCTAGGGCTTCTCAAAGGCAAAGTTAAATGTAAGACATCAAGGCATGGAGAAGGTGCCATGTGAGGGGCTGCAGAAGAGACAGAAATGGAGTCACAGCTCTGCCACCACAGTCCTAGCCACCTCTGTCCAAGATGCTACAATGACCCCAGCAGGGAGCTCAGCTGGTGTTTCAGGCCTTGCTGTCACTCTCTAAACATATGTGGAACACCTACCCAGTAGCTGGCAAGTTGGGGACACAGAGCAACACAGATACCAACTCTCTGCCCACAGGGATCTGCTGCCTTAGCTGGGCACCCAGACCATCAGAAAGAAACAACAAAAATTAGGACAATGGCCTCAGACACTGGCCATTGCTACAAAGCTCAGCATGACCCCCAGCCCAGTACCACCAGTAGCACCAGAGCTTGCTCAAAATGCAGAGTCCAACCAGAGATGGTGGGGCATACCTGTTAATACAGTTCTAGGGAGTTCAAGGCAGGAGGATTATGAGTGCCAGACCAGCCTGGACTGTATAGTAAGATTCTGTCTTAAACCCAGAGCTGGGGATGTGTAGCTCAGTGATGAGGTTAGCTTAAAATCCACTAGTGAGGGGCTGGGGGTGTGGCTCAGAGGTAGCAAGCTAGCCTAGCAGGTGTAAGGCCCTGGATTCCACCCCCAGGACTGCAGAAAAAAGAAAAAAGAAACAAAAACCCAAGGCAGATTCTGGGACTCATCTCCTCTCACATCACCCCCCCCCCCAATTTTGCTGCACATTGAAGTCTGAGGACCCTGGAGACACAGGATAGGGCAAGTGGGCACTAAGGGGGTTTCCTCAGTGAGACTGTAAAAGTCTAGCTGGGTAAGGCTTGCTGAGGCCAAGTGAGGACAAAGAACAGAGCTGGCAAAGAGAAGGCAGAGCTAGACTCAAGAACATCAAGTTCAGGGCCAGGACAGAGCTTGGCAGGTCTGAGAAAGAGCAGGGGGCTGGGAAGGGTGGCAGGATACAGGCTCACAATGCAGGCCTGAGGACCCAGGCCAGAGGGAATGGCTCTGGGGAGAGGGTGACCCACTCTCCCTGTGGCCTCTTCTCACCTCAGGCCTATCCTGTTCAGCAAGGGGTGGGGAGGTCTACTTGAAGGCAGGCTGGAGACAGAGACAGGCCAGGCTCACCTCTTAGTTCTTACCACAAAGAGGAAGTACCAATACCATCCAATCAGTGGTGGCAGAGTAATGGGAGGGGTCAGAGTGGGGAGAGGACCGTTATGGGGCGGGGACTCGGAAGAGAATGATGTTGTCACTTCCACAGATGCCCAGGCTTCCTGGTCCCCACAAACTGCCTCTGGAGAAGGGAAGGGAACACACACAGGTGTGCTGTAAAGAGAAAGCTGGCTTGTGGCACACATGTCATATGCTTGCAGGTGCAGAAGGCTGCCTGTCTGCTCTCTCTCCTCTCTCTCACTCTCCTCTCCCTCTCTCTCTCTCTCTCTCTCTCTCACACACACACACATAAATAGTGTCAAAAACACATGACCAACCACAGTGTTACAAGTATGCTACACTCATAAACAAAAATCCCAGGAAAGTTATACAACACCTAGACACAAAGCAGTGTCACAAATATGCTATAGTCACATACAGGACCCCCCCCCAATTTCAAATACATATAATCATAGCAGTACAAATGGGCTATGGTCATACACAAAGTGCCAGAAACATTCCGTACATACACACAACTCTGCATGTGTGTGCACGTACAGAGCCACCCAGAGTCACAGAAACACAGAGAACCACAGAAAGTCCCAAATAAATGAAATTCACACACAGAGCTAAAACAGAAAAATTTTAGTCAAGCAATGAAGGCCAAAAAAGAAAAAACAAAACCCAGTGACCCAGGCCTACAACGCTAAGGTAGATTAAGTCATCTGGTCAATCTACACATCCCAACTGTCTCTAACCTCTGGGTGTTTATTAGGCAGGGAAGATAAGGCAAAGGCCAGTTTCCAAGAGGCAAAGAATGTGAGCATCAGTAACTGTGGTTTTGAGAGAGATCCCAACATTCCCCACAGCCATGGAGGACTCAGGAATAATTTGGCACCAGGAGGACGTAGACATGCCTCGACCACACTGTGGCCAGATACAAAAGTGTTACATGGGGCAGGCTTCACAAACTGGCCTGGAACAGTGGGAAAATGCCAGTTATCTCTAAATAACCAACAGAGCCAAGGTCACACCCAAGGTCTCAAGAGGGAGGGTCTTCTGCCCAGAGAGAACCACAAGGGGTCTCTGTCTTCCACACACAAAGCCACAAAGGATCTGGGCAGTATAAACACACAACAGGGCACGCACAACAATGTTACAAATGGATACACACAAGAACTTTCCCACAGATGGAACCAGAGGTAAATGACAGCCACCCACAAAGTCCCAGGCATACAACAGTGTTACAAATGAACACACAATTTACATTTATTTGCCCACAAGCTGAACAACTGTTTCAGAGGAGGACAGGCACACAGCAGCACAGACAGTCATGGCTGGATACCCTGAGCCCCAGCCAAAGGCATACACAGTACAGTCACAATGGGGACTCACAGTGGTAATTCACAGGGACCCTGGGAGCCACAGATGGAATTCATGGCAAATTACAAGCACAGCCGGTCAAGGAAGACCTTGGCTGCTGTACATCAGGAACCCCAAGCCATCAACACACTCCAAAATGACAACGAGGCACAAGCACATATTTGTGTATTTGCACATGGAAGCCACAGAGGAACTGAGACCCATCACATACACAACCTCGGTGGGTCCCTAGCAGCAATCCAACAGTCCCAGACGCAGGCGACTCGGTGGCCATCAGGCACACAGGTAACCGATGGGAACACAAGGACGGAATTTGTGGTCAACGACACAACGAACAGGGCTCCAAAGGATTCCAGCTGTTACACATACGCGCTCCACGCAAAGCTCAGACACTTTCAAGACACAATCAAAGGCGGAAACACCCGCGCACAGGGGGCTGGGCACGAGTGGGGGGGGGTCAGGCCGGAGCACACACGACCCCCAACCCCCTCTCCCCCCGGGAGCTGAGGCTCATGGAAGCCCCCTCCCCCAGCCACCATGACAAACGGGGATGGCTGCAGATGGGGACCACGAACCCAAGGGCTGCAGGGGCTACGGGGCTGCGGGGGCTGCTCGCGGTTGTCCTTCCATCAGTGGATCCGTACGGTCATATCGGGGCTCCCCGGCAGGGGCGATCCAGGCCTCCCACCCCCCCGCATCCGGCCCTCAGTGGCGCCGGGTCCTCGGGCCTCGCCGCCGGGCTGCACGCCGCGCGCCCCCCACGCCCCGGGTCGCCAATCCCGGTCCCCATCGGGGACACCCCCACATGCACGAGCTCCGGGACCTCGGTCCCACCCCCCTTCCTGGCCCGGATCGCGTCCCCCACCCCGCGGACCGCTGCTTACTCGAACATGGATGCGGCGCCGGGGCCACAGGGTAGGGCCGGGCCGGCTGCTCTGAGCTGGGCCTCCCAGGCCTCGCCTGCCTCGGCCCGCCGCCCCCACCCGACCCCACCGGCCGCACAAAAGGCCGGAGCCGCCGGAGGCCGCCGCGGCGTCAGCGACACCCCCTTCCTGCCCCCGCCCCGCGCGTCACGGCGCCGCCCCCGCCGGGAGGGGGACCCGCGCGCAGAGCGCCGCCGCGGCCTAGGTGGTTGGGGAAGAGCGGCTGGGAGATCTGGATGGAACGACGGACAGAGACAAACTGTGGTAAAACCAAGCAGCCTGGGCCCGAGGTGATGGCGCACGCCTGGCATCCCAGCACCGGGACGGCTGAGGAGGGACTGCCCCGAGTTCGAAGCCAGCCTGGGCTATATAATGTCCAGGCCACACTGGGGTACAGACTGAGACCCTGCCTTCAAAACAAACAAGCAAGCAAACAGACAAAACAAGTCTAAGCACGCTGGGCCTCTCCCTTAGGACCTAGAAAAGTGTCGGGGGAGGAACCTGAAAGGTGGGGTGGAGGTGGGTGTTATGCTGATGCTGGGAAAACCCAGTATGGGGGGGGAGGGCACAGCTAATGGGTGGAAGGGCTCATCCTCCTCCGACCACCCAGTCTCCAAGCTTCACTTCCTGCCAAGAAGCTTTGCCGTGGGGGGGGGGGGGGAGAAGGGGACTTCCCCAGCTCAGGCCTGTGGACCAAGTCAGACTCCAACTCCACCCCCCAAACCGGGTTCTTAGTTGTGCTGTGAGTTTGGGCAAGTCCCCCAGGCCTAGGGATTGCACTGAGTCCTAAACAGGTTTTCCCCAGAACAGCACAGGGATAGGGCTCCTCAGTGGTCTGGATAATGAGAAACCACCCAGCCTCATGGTGGGATGTGATCCTGCACTGCAGAGAGGGCTCTTGTTCTGATGCCAACTCTGCGCCCACCTCTGCAAGGGTGAGACGTGTCCTTGCGGGAGAATACAGGGACACAGGCACCCAGCTCAGGGGTTTCTCCCTACCCCTCTCCAGATAGGCCTCCTTAGCTCTCATAAAAACTCCATTTCCATCCCTCCCCAGCCTCCTAGCCTTGGCTCCTCAACTCTCCAACTGCATTTTGTTGGACAGCAAATCCCAACCTCCCAGTCTTTGACACCTTTCACATCCACATCAAACTTCACAAACCCCATCAGCTCAGCCTGCAAAGTGTACCCAGAGTCCACTGCCCCTGCCACCCTCTTCCACTCCAGCCTCCAGTCTCCTGGCTAGCTCCAGGCTATCAGGCTCCTCCCCCATCTGCTTCCACTCCTGCCCCACTCTGTGACCACCTGCTGCTACCAGAAAGAGTCTCTGAACACTCAAGTGGGACTAGACACTTCCTGGCTCTGAGCCCAACCCTGGCTCCACCTCATTCCGGGTAACAGGGAAGTGCTTACCTTGGTGCCCAAGGCCCTACTGTTGGGGCCTCTTTCCCCTCTCTGATTTCTTGGGCTCCTCCTCAGTCTCGAAATTGCTCTTTGCAGGAGACACTCTGATACTCTGCTCTTTCTCTAGCTCACCAGGTACATTTTTGCCAGGTGCCTCAGGACCTTGGCACTTGCTGTTATTCCTGCACCAGGACACTCTTTCCTCAGTTCTTACAGGGAGGCCTGTCCTTCTACGGTCATAGCTCTCCTTTTATTTCCTTTTTTTAAAAATAATTTTTGTTTTATGTGTATACGTGTATTGCCTGCATGTAGGTAAGTGCACCCGTGTTGTGCAATGCCATCGGAGGTCAAAAGAAGCTGTCGGATCCCCTGGGACAGATCCCCTGGGACTGGAGTTATGGACAGGTGTTAGCTGCCCTGTAGGTGCTGGGATTTGAACCCGGGTCTTCTGCAAGAACAACCAGTATTCTTAACTGCTGAGCCATCTCTCCTATTTCCTTCTGCTTTTAAAGACTTTACTTTGGTAGTGAGGGGCAGGTGTGTGTGCACGCGCATGTCTGCATTTGTGTGTGTGTGTGTGTGTGTGTGTGTGTGTGTGTGTATGTGTGTAGGATCCCATTATATACCCCATGCTGGCCTCAAACTCACTATGTAGCTCAGGCTGCCCTCAAACTCATGTTCCTCCTACCTTAGCCTCCTAAGAGCGGGCATCATCACCAAGTCTAGGAATTTTTACAGTTTTAAAAGATTATTTCTTAATTTGAAATAGGGTTTCACTGTGTAGCTCTGGCTGGCCTGGAACTTGCTACACAAACCAGGCTGGCCTCAAATTTAGAGAGATCTGCCTGCCTCTATGTCCTGAGTGCTGGGATTAAAGGTGTGTGCCACCACAGCTGTCATTTTTATTTTCAAATGTGTGTTTGTGTGTGTGTGTGTGTATGTGTGTGTGTTTGCCTGTGGGTATGTGCACTGAAGTGCAGGTGACCACAAAGGCCAGAAGAGGACATCGGATCCCCTGCAGCTGGAGTTACAGGCAATTGTGAGTTCACAGCTGATGTGGGTGCTGGGAACAGAGGCCAGAAGAGGATATTGGGTCCTTTGAAACTGGAGTTATTGACTGTTATGAGCCACCATGTGGGTGCTGGGAACCAAACCCAGGTCCTCTGCAAGAGCAGCCAGTGCTCTTAACTGCTGAACCATCTCTCCAACCCCAAACTTTTACATTTTTAAGGAGAAAATATTTCAAACAGAAAAATGTATAATAGCCATCTACATCCCTACCACCCATATGCAATAAGTATTTCTAAAAAAATCTTATTAACTTGTTTAAAAATCTTATTGCCTTGAACTGTATCTCAAGGCAATGGAAAACCACTAAAGGATTTAAGTAAGGAACAATGAATTAGGATCTGTACATCACAAAGTTTATTCTGGACTTCTGAATAGGTGGTTGGTTGGCCATTTTGGTTAGTTTATTTTGGCGGGGAGGGTGCTGGAGATTGAACCTGGGGCCTCAGGCATGCTAGGCACTCTACCATCAAGTTCCATCTTAGCACTCAGGAGGAGGAGGCAGGAAGATTGCTGCAAGTTTGAGTCAGCCTGCTCTACACAGTAAGTTTCAGGCCAACCAAGATTATGTAGCAACTCTGTCTTAAAAAGAAAAAAAGGAAGGAATGAAGAAACAAACAGAACCAAATAAGCTCTTATACTTACAACCAAGGGTCCAGCTCCCTGTCTTCTCTTTCTTTGCTTGGGCACCTTGGGTACCCAACTGCCTTGAAGTCAGGGTGGGTCCCTCCCATACAAGTTTTTCTACATCAGACGCATTCCCCAACACCATAGCCTGTTACCCAGCACCTTTTAAAGATACGCAATCCAGCTCCTACCGTGTCCCTTTGCAGCTTGCTTCCCGTCATCACTGTTTCCCAGATTTCTCCATGCCAACAGAGCTCTGCCTGGTAAACATTCACTCTTATCCAGCATCCATTGTTGGGAGAAACCACAACACATATTTCTAGTCAGGGTCAGTGGAATTCTTTCCTTTTTTTTCTAATGCCCTCTGCCCTTAAATCTCTTAAGTTCCTGTCTCCTAGGGCCAGAGGTAGTGTTTCTTTGCAGAAGTTTTGTTTGCCTGTGAACTACAACAGGAAATACCTCCGGCACACACTTAGAAACAGACATCTTGTCACTGAAGTTTCAGGAAACCACACTTACCTCCTTGTGCCTTGTGCATGGTATTATTTTTCAATTTTCTTACGATTAATATTTTTAAAGATTAAAAAAATTGGGAGGGTCTTTCTGAGACAAGGTCTCCCTGTAGCCACAGCTGATCGGGAACTCAGTATGCAGACCAGGCTGGCCCTGAATTTTCAGAGCTCCACCTGCCTCTGCCTCCCTAGTGCTGGGATTAAAGGCGTGTGTCACCCCACCCATCTTGTTTTTATTGTTTGTTGCTGTTTTGATTTGAAATAGGGTCTCTCAGTAGTCCTAGTTGGCTTGGAACTTGCTATGTAGACCAGGCTGGCCTTGAACTCACAGAGATCCACCTGCCTCTGCCTCCCAAGTGCTGGGATTAAAGGTGTGAGCCATCATGCCCAGCTTTTTTTTTTTTTTTTTAAAATTTTTAATTATACGATGGAAATGGAAAGCTTTTGCAATGTGATCATAATTAAGAACTTTGGAGCAGGGAAAACTCTGAGATAAGAGACAGGCCCATGGGGGGAGGGGTGCCCCTTGTGTTTGCCCAGGATGGAAGTCTTTGTTTTCCAAAGTTCTCCCATTCCTGTAACCTTTGGGGCATGTGACCTTGCTTATTTACCACATGTACCTTTTTACTTAATTGTCACCTATGTGCTGTTGTGCCTTTTGTTTATACTTCCTCACATGAATATAAAAGCCCCCCAAAACTGAAATGGGCCACTGACTCCCTTACAGAAGGATCCTTGGAGCAATCCACTAGCATAAAATGATTAAACCCTCTCTTCTCACCTGACTTTGGCTATTGGTCTCTGATTTTTTCCCCAACAATTCTGGTATATGTGTATGTCTGTGTGGGGAGGCCCGAAGAGGACAATCCAATCCCCTGGAGCTGCAGTTACAGGTGGTTGTGAGCTACTGGACATGGGTGCTGGGAACTGAACTAGTTTCTTTCCAAGAGCAGTGCATGGTCTTAACTGTGAGTTCTTTCCAGCCCCTGTTGTTTGCATAAAAAAATTATTTTTATTATTTTTTGAATGTGTACATGTGTTTTGCCTGCATGGATGTATGTGCACTATGTGTGTGCCTGGTGCCCAGGGAGGCCAGAAGAGGGGGTCAGATCCCCTGGAGCTGGAGTGACAGAAAGTTGTTAGCTACCAGGTAGGTGCTGGGAATTGATCCTGGGTCCTCCGCAGGAACAAGTGGTGTTACCCACTGAGTGATCTCTCCAGCACCTGTTCTTAATTTCAGCCTATTTTTGTTTGAAAACAAAGTGCTGTTTACAATTTTTCAAGTTTGTTTCATGGCCCCTTACCCAGGTCCTGACCTACAGCCCATGTCAGTCTTGCTGGGTAGCACTCAGTTAAGTCCACAGTTGCCCATTCCCTGGTTTAGTTTGTGGGTTGTGGTAGATAGTTTTGCTGATTTGACTGGCTTGATAGACACCTAGGGCACTAGGGAGGCACAGCTTTCAGCATGTCTTTGAGGGAGTTTCCAGTGTGGAGAAGAGTAACCTTAAATGT